GTTTGCAAACTCGATGTGAAAGAGGTGTTCTATGCTAAACTCACATCTGCGGTAGATAATTGCCTGTGATCGAGCTGGTTATGAGGTCTGTTGGTCCCCATGGATCATGAGCTGATTCCAGTAGTGAGTGAGCCTCCTCCTCCAGGAATTTGCTAGGTCACAGAACTCGAAAACCTGGCATACCCAGTTGCTCTGTGGAAGTTCTTTAAGTGGGAAACAATCGAAGCAACATAGGAATCCATTGGCATACACCCGAGGGCAAGGCAGAATTCCATATCTCTGGAGACATTGGAGGTCACTGAAGCATGTCACATGGCTCAGCTGAACGGCAACCAGGAGTTGCATCATTCTTTGGTGCATAGGGCTCGGACAATGCTGAGAAGGGACAAGGAACAGTTCACCAGGAATCTTGTTGAGATTGAAGGTCATTTCTTGGTAAATAACATTCATCCTGCCTATCAAGCCCTGAGAAAACTGAGCTCTAAGTCCTCCTCGCAGATGACTGCAGTTCGCTCAGTGAATGGCCAGATCATCTCAGATCATGTTGAGGTTCGAGAACGTTGGGCTGAGTATTTTGAGCACCTGTCGTATTCAGCCCAGCGCAATTTCCAATTTTTACCACCATTATTATTTTTCATGTTCTGATCCATGATCTTTTTCACCATTATTATTTTTCATGTCTTGACCCATGCGATGCCTTTTCACTATCATTATTTTTCACATTCTGATCTTATGCAATATCTAATCTTTATTGTTATTCATATTTTTACCCAGACCATTTCTGATCATTGTCATATTTTTTTTTCATAATCAAACCCGTGGAATTTTTAATGATTATCACCATTATGCTTTTTTTTTCTGAATATGTCCACTACGCGTAACCCTCATAATGCCTCAACATTCTCTTTATTAGCGCGAAAATCGGCTGAGCTCCCTGAAACAACAGCTGGGGGAATCGTCTTCAGACAGGGTACAGGAAGAGCACCGCACAATTCAGCAGTTACAGCAGGTCGGTGAAAACGTATATTCTTTAATTATCAAAATTAAATGTATCGAAAAGTGCCTTCTTAGGATTTAGTCTCGTTTCATTTTAAATCTGCACACTTGTCACCGAAAAGGTTTTATTTTTTTCCACCAATTTCTAGCGTCACTCTGTACTTCCCCTTCTCTTTAACTACTACTTACCCTCGCCTACAACGTCACTCTAAGTATTCACCCTTAATTACAGCTTCACCCTCCTTACCTGTTTCATCCTTAGAAGTTATCCTTACCTGCAACATCACCTTTGGGTTCTCACTCTTGCTTTTACCAGTGTCCCCTTCGACATGCTTTTCCACCTTTATTCTGATCTTTAACTACCTAAATACTTGTCTACCTAACTGCCTTGTTTACCCATCTTCATATCTACCCACCTATCTTTCTTTAGTACATATGTATATATATTAAATAATATGTGCAGGTATATATGTGTATTTATATCTGCATAGGTATTGAAACACAGACATACACTATTATACACACATAAAAGTATTGATAAACAAACCAACATACTAACATAAGATACACATGCAGCATGACAAACATTAATAAATACAAAACTAGCAACAAACCAAACAAAAAACAAATAACAAAACAACAAACCGAAAGGAACTGAGGATCGCTCCTTTCCCACCAAACCTTTATTCCGCCTCTTAAAGCCGCCCTCTCACCCCCCGCCCACCTCCCTCCCTCCCTCCCTCCCTTCCTCCCACGCCCACCACAGGATCTGATCGCGCTAGAGAACGAGCAGGAGCGAGTGGGCGTGAGTGTGACGGAGGCGGAGAGTGTGAAGCGGCGCTACGGAGCCATGGTGACGGCGCTCAAAGGGGAGGCCGCCGCCTACAGGACGACTCTTGACACGCTGCACGCCAGGCTCGCCGAGGAGAAGGATTCCCTGAAGAACTTGAGGGTGAGAGGCCATATATATACGCATGCATATGTATATATATAAAGACAGAGGTAGATAGATACGCATAGAGAGAAATGGATAGATAGATAGATAGATTGACCGATTGAGATTGGTTGATTGATTGACTGAGATATGTAGATAGATACAGTTCGATGGACTGATAGACACAGAGAAACCAAAAGAGGTTTATGCACTTCCACCTGGTATTGTAAATAGTACCGTATACCTTAAAAGCAAAAGAAATAACTAAATAGATGGATAGACACAGACCATTAAAAGATGCAGCAGTTCCCCCTTAACGAAAATGCAACTTGACCTCATGGAACATCAGATCTTAGAGAAAAAGAATAAAATAAATAATAATACAATAATACAATAAAAAAAACATGATTTCCTTTCTCGCCGAGCACAGGATAGCAGGAAGAAAGCAGAGAAAACACGAGACTGCTTGAGAACGCGCTTGCATGAGGAGGAGGAAAGCGCTTACGAGACCAAGAGAGAACGCGAAAAGAGGCTCTTCGAATTTAGGTAAGCAGGAGGAACAAGTGATGA